TATTATAAATATCTATATAATTTATATTATACAATATTTTTGGAGAACCGTTTATTTTTTTAGCACAAGCAAGTATTTTTGCAATGACATAGTTTTATCAGCCTTTTCTGAGAAACAACAAGATACAAAAAGATTGCGGTGAGTAGAAAAAATGATTATTAAAATGCAGATACGATAAGAGACTTGAAAAAAACATTAGCATTTATCGAAAATGGAAATTTACTCAGAACGAGAAGAGATTTAGAGCCATTGCTAGCTGCATTATGCGTCACGGCGCGTCATTATTTAAAAAAAAATCTAAATTTTAAGAAAATAAAATTCCCATTTAAAGAAAATATAATATTTGAATCAAAATTGACTTAATAAGTATCTTACAATAATTATTTAACATTTTATTATTATTGTCTCATTATTTTTAATGACATTATAATTAATATCTTTATTTTATCACATTATTGAAAAACGAAAAATGAATTATAAATTAGCTAAAGAATATACTCCTGCATTTTTAAATCTTTTTTGTTCAACATTTTTGTATAGTCACCGCGAACATGTATACTGTGAAATTAATACGTTCAGTGGCTTGTTAATTAGTTCGTTTATGAGCGTGTACGGACCATCATATGATTCAAGCCTCACAAAACAAGCGAATGTTTTAAAACATCGTCTCAAAAGACGAAATATACATTAATTTTTATTATTTATTTTGAACATTATTATTATTATTATAGAGAAGTATTGTATATTATAATAGGAAATTTACTCAGAACGAGAAGAGATTTAGAGCCATTGCTAGCTGCATTATGCGTCACGGCGCGTCATTATTTTTTTTTGTCTCATTGTTCCTGGTACATACGCAACGACATGAAGCGAACAAGGTGTTGCGAGCCCTCGTAGTCGGATAATTACTGACCTGTTCGTTCAGTAAAGGTATGCTGTGGCCCGAGTAAGTTCCTACTCAGAAAGCTGAGCAAAGAACTTTCTACGGACAAACTAGGGATTCTAATGTGATATGATTTTAATGTGAATCTCGATGCTACATACATATATTGCATGCTTCTTGTAAATTCAACCTTCTTACAAGAAACCTAGATTTTTTATAAAACATCAATCTACAAAGATTCTAAGTCATTTTGTAAAAAAATTGACTCTATAAAAAGTCTGTAATATATAAGTATACAAAATCTTCACAATTAATCAGAAAAAAAGTAGACGTAATAATTTCAATGTAAGCTGTATTTATAATCCGCAAAATTGAACTGCTCAAATTATCACAAGTTTAATTGATAGCTTCTAACATCGTTATTGAAAACTCTATTCCTCTTATGTTTCATTTGTTTAACTTTATCATTAATTCTTAAATTGCAGAGTTACCTCGTTAAAAGAAAAAAATAACATATATAACATAAACAGCGCTCTATATTATTACATCATAAATTTATCGAAGTAAAGAAAGATACTGATATAATGCCAATAAATGACATTTATAATACCTATAACGAACTTCATTACATGTTTTATGTATTTTCAGTTACATTTTATTTATGTCGAAAATATAATTATTTTTAACGATGCTGGATAATTACTGTTATTATTGAATGGTTATCTTTTTATATTATATTTTTT